CTGTGGTTCTCTGTGGTTTAGGGCTCTTATCATCTCCCTAATTGACATGAGAACACAAAACATCAACAATAACATGGTTGTGTTATTATTGATCAAAAAATATTATCTAGGCTAAGAGATAAAAGCTTAACTGTCAACAACATCCTTTACAGCTTAACTTACCTCCACCATGCAGCCTCCACTGTAGTTAAAAGCAGCAAACTTTAACAACAAAGTTTGTGATTGTCCTGTGGCCCCCACCTCACTTTTATTTTTGTCTGTCTCTGTCCTCACATCAGGGTCAGAGGCTCCTGTGAGGAGAAGATGAACTTAAACATTGAACATCAGCTGAACTGTTTAAGCAGCTGACTGGATGGATGAGCACATTTTTACAAGCTAAGCTTTATCTGTTACTTTCAATCTTTAGTTAGCTTCTGAGTTTAGCTAGCTACGTAGATAAAATAAATTTACACACTAATATCTTAAAGTGAGCGTTACATGGATTCTAGTTTAATTCACCATGATGTACGTGTTAAGCTGCAGTAACGTTAACAAATGTAGTCTGTTTGTTATACGTCTGGTGTTTTACCTGCCTGCGTGCTGAAACAACGTGATACGTTATAGCCAATACCGAAACTTAACACAGAAAAAAGAGTGACGTTTTAATCCATACACCGACCGGTGCAGTTCGGTCGGTGCCATTTAAGAACCTCGGTTCGGTACTCAGCCCTACATTTTAACAAACTGTACTTTAATTTAAGTACCACCAAAAGTTACTTGTATAAAGATTTAAAAATAAAAAGTAAGCCATTAAAATTTTACTTTGAGTAAAAGTTACTGAGTTATATTTTCACATGAGAATGTGTCTCGCCAGCGGGGCTTAAACTACTTGCCGTGGTCTAGATTTAGTTTGTTCTTATGGCTGCATGGTGCAGTTCTTCCTCACAGAGACATAAATGATATAAACATGCCTTTGAAAATGGTAGAAGGCATGAATATGTGTCCTAATTCAGTAAGAAATAAGCTCAGGAGTCATGAGGTTCTGAAGCTTGGACAGTGGATTACCAGAAGCGAGGTTAACATTTTTGTTGCAAAAACTGATGGTCTAAGTTCTCAGAATTACAGAGGATTTCAATGAATATGGTTGGACCACTATGGTAACAGACACTGAGGATGAGCCTGGTTGGATCACCATGTTAACAGACTGAGTTTAAGCTAGGTTGGATCACCATGGTAACAGACTGAGTTTGACCTTGGTTGGATCATCATGGTAACAGACTGAGTTTGGGCCTGGTTGGATCACCATGGTAACAGACTGGGTGGGTGTGGGTCTGGTTGGATCACCATGGTAACAGACTGAGTTTGAGCTTGGTTGGATCACCATGGTAACAGACTGAGTTTGAGCCTGGTTGAATCACCAAGGTAACAGAATGACTGAGTTTGAGCCTGGTTGGCTCACCGTGGTAACAGACTGAGTTTGACCTTAGTTGGATCACTATAGTAACAGACTGAGTTTGAGCCTGGTTGGATTACCATGGTAACAGACTGGGTGTGAGCCTGGTTGGATCACCATGGTAACAGACTGAGTTTGAGCTTGGT